ATGGCTTGTTCCATCAAATCAAAATACATATTTTGTGCATGTGTGTGTAATGTTTTGAATACTATGTCAAATAAATTCAAAATAAATAGAAATATTTTCAAATTTAATTCAAATGAAAATTATGTTTTTAACATGTTCGTCTGGAAGTAATTACTAGACCTCGGATTTTGCATATTTGCATATTTTTTAATAATGAAGATATCGAAATTCTGATTGGACACAAATTCGTTTCAAAGGATTTAGAATTATTTGAAGGGTTCATATTTTTTAATTTTTTGCATATTTTGCATATGCACGAGATATGCAAAAAATATGCAAAATATGCAAAAAATATGAAAAATATGCTAGGTCGATATGCAATAAATATGCAAAATATAGGCAAAATATGCAAAATATATGCTAAAATATGCAATAATATGCAAAAAAAAATATGCACGGTATGCTAGGTCGATATGCGATAAATATGCAAAAAAAATAAAAAATATAGGCAAAAATATGCAAAATATGTGCAAATATGAGCAACATATTTCACATATGCAATCATTTTAATAAAAAAAAAAGATTTTTCATGGTAGTTTTCGAATTTGTGTGCTTTCTTTATTTTTAGCCTATAGAAATCTAATTGTGTATGTATGCGTTTCATGGTTCAACTGTTAGATTTTTGGGGCATTATGAAAAATTTGCTAAATATATGTATAAAACATGCAAACATATATAACCGTTATATGGCGATATACTAAAACGTGGACCGATATATCCCATTTCCAATACCAAACATCCTAGGAGTAATAATAATATATGTGCAAAATTTCAAAGTTCTATCTTTAATATTGCGACCTAGCATACCGTGCATATTTTTTGCATAATTTGCATATTTTTGCATATTTTGCATATTTTTTGCATATTTGGCATATCGACAATGCATATTTTGTATATTTTTTGCTTATTTTGCATATTTTTGCATATTTTGCATATTTTTTATGCTTTATCCGATTGGACTCACATTTTGTATTTAGGCGTTTCATGCTGCAATTGATCGATATTTGGGGTCATGTCAAAAATATGCAAAAAATATGCAAAAAATATGCAAAATATGCAAAAAATATGCAAAATATGCAAAAAATATGCAAAATATGCAAAAAAAGGTCTAGTAATTACTTTGTTATGGATGAAACAAACATTTGATGGTATTCCCTACTGAATTTTGGGAACAAATCATAACCTTTCATTCATTTTTCGCGATTTTAGTTTTGTGTTGAAAAAATGTGAAATAAACACAAACACTTGTTGCGTATATTTATTTTATTTTTGGCAGAAGAGGACACACGTGCATAGTTGTTTTTTTGTTATTCACCTCAAACTGCCCTACCTTGTATTATTGCACCATGGGCCGTACACAACATTTTGCCATATTGGGGAAGTTTAATATTTTTATACGCTCCGTCGGATATAGATAACGCTGTTACAGATTATTGATATTTTAATAAAAACAAATTTATACAATTTGTTTTTATTTTTCTTATTATTTTTTGTTTACATATTTATTACTGACAAACAAAAACACTTACGAATTCATATTAAAAACTTTTTTTTATTCAAAAAATATTTTTAATCGGAAATGCAAGCGGACAAAACTAAAGCACCCCCTAATTGGAACAGAACAGAAAAAATATTAAAAGCAATTTGACTAGAGATGCATATTGTCTTCTCATTGCGATGTTTTTCGTGACATTTCCCAATATGAACTGGAGATTTTAGTATAGTCTGCAAACACGTGTTAATTGACCTGGAAATTATTGATCTATTAATGGAGTATTTTACACCCAATTGGAAGAAGGTACGAGCCACTTTGTGGCAGTTGAAACCCTTAGAATTCGGCACAAGGTCTAGCCTTGATACTAGCATTGCATAACCGAATTAGTAGACATTGAACAAGCCACATTCTGTATCACGAAAGCAGGAAACTCATTTTTACACCCTACATTCAAACTATGAACGTAACACAATCATAAATGTACGTCTTACAAAAACTTGTTTTTATCTCTTGGTGTTTGTAGAGTCCAGAGGAGATGTTGCTCCTTGCAGAGCGCCTGCACCATATGATGGGCATCACCTCCTAAATGTCAGGTGTCGTTCGCTTGTACCATAATTTCAGTATTAAAATATCAACGCATAAATTGAAGGGCATAACAGCTGCCGAATTTGTGTATTGCTATTGTTAGTTCGGGACTGTACGAATTTAGGATATATTCCATTCGCACATACGGTAAAACACCTATCATGCTACGGCATACAATATTAATATTTTCGTTTTGACGACTAACATAGTTTTGTATGTATAGGTTTTTTGCCGAGGCGAAAACTAATTGTTCTTGTAACTTGGGCTGTAACAAAATTATCTTCTGAAAACACAACATTAGTACTATTGAATAAACGATTCAGTATGTGTCGGCAATAGGCTTCTATTGATTTTGGTAGTGACCGGTTTATATTTAGAGCCCCAATTATGACCCAAAACCGAGGAAATTGCGAAGACGGGGATCTGGCCTACGAATAAATATGGCTGTTTTCATGAAAATCGTTGATTAAACGATTGCCTCAAATATACCAATTTTTATACCCTCCACCATAGTATGGAGGGTATATTAATTTTGTCATTCCATTTGTAACTCATCGAAATATTCATTTCCGACCCTATAAAGTAAATATATTTTTGATCAGGGTAAAATTCTATGACGATCTAACCATGTCCGTCCGTCTGTTGTAATCACGCTATCTTCTTAAGGAATTGAGATATGGAGCTGAAATTTTGCAGAGTTTTTTCTTTTGTCTGCAGGCAGGTCAAGTTTGAAGATGGGATATATCGGTCCACCTTTAGGCATAGCTCCCATATATTTTGGGGGTTTTGATAGTACTTTTCCACCGAATTGGCTGTAATTTAGTATTTTGATTTCTTATTAGGTACCAAATCTTTCCACAAAAAATTATAAATATAGGTCAATTTTTTCGGATAGCCCCCATATAAGGGTACCCCCAATTTTCGGTATTTTGGAGTTCTTGAGCGCATTTTTCTACCGAATGCGTTGAAATTTGGTATTTTGTAGTCGTATATGGTAACTCCCTACCAAAAATTTTTAATATTCGCCCCCTTTTTGGGGTCGTCCCCTATAACCCCATTTTTATATTAAAATAGTTATATGATTTGTTCCGTGTTTGGGTTTGGTTCTAAGACTGTTGTAATCATTTTATCTGCGGAAGATACGAAAAAAACTAGAACATAAGGTGTTTGATTTTTTAAAGACTGCAATTATATTAATATATGCACACAGACGAGGTATTTATAATTAATTATTTACAGGCACTACATATTTTGAAATTATCTAATATTAATATTATCGCACTTTCCAATATCGGGACCGCATAAAGTTTAAATATGTCACAAATGATGATGAATCAAATTTTTTGTAACTTGGGCTGTAAAATGACATAATGGGCTCTTGGAGTGTTAAAAACACCTTTCAAGGAAATCTTTCCAGTTTTGATGTAGCCCTCATATAAAATGCCTGCACATTTGTAGGTATTTTGATATTCTCGAAGTAAAATTGAAATAAAAAATCTCGAAACTTCAATTTTATTTACAAAAATTAATTTATTTTTTAAGGCGAATTAAACACAACAATTTGATTCCACATTCAATGTTACAATCAAGATTTATGCATAAGGTTAACAAGGAATAAACCTTGGTTACAATCAAGGTCTATATATTAAGGCCATCCAGTAAGGGCAGCTGATATGTACCTATAATCCGACGGAGCGTACAAAAATATTTAACTTCCCCCGCTATGGCAAAATGTTGTGTACGGCCGTATTACCCAAATACGTCGAATCCATATATTCAAGTGAATAATACAAACCGCAAAACAAAATTGAAAATGCATTAAATTAATTAATCCAAATATTTTATATTCCCATTCGAAATTTCATATTATCTGAATGTCTTGTCTTTATTTTCAACAAAAGAAAAAAAAAACACATTCTGTAAAAAAATCTTGTCAATATGTTTGTTTTGGTAAAATATTTTTGACATATCAATATACAACAACCGATGTTTGTTGTAGAAATTCGCCGATGCGGCTACCTTGTATATCTACCTTGTGCAAAACATTTTAAAACAAAAAAAAATTCACAAAATGTCAAAAAAAATAATTTTGAAACTGAATTGTCTTAGTCCCAATTTAGATTAGGCGAGTTTACTTGCGGCAAGTCTTTGACTGTAGGCGAGAGGGGCAAGGGGATTAGAAATGGAAAAAAATTGCTCGTACCGACAATTTTCTGGCAATTCGTTTTTTGTGTATTTCGTATTTGTTGACATTTTATATTTATTTAAATGTGAAAAAAATATTGACATCATCAGAAAAAAGAAATATTTTCGGAATCGAATTGCCTTGTATAGACGCATGAAGCAAATTCAAAAGGGAACGATAATAATTGCCACAAGTAAACTCGCCTAGTATAAATCAGGACTTATATAGACGCATGAAGCAAGTTCAAAAGAGAACGATAAAAATTACCGCAAGTAAACACGCCTAATCTAAATCAGGACTTACAGAAAATGTAAATACAGGGTTGCATATTTCCTGAAATTCGCCTTCTGGATGACCTGTTATTTGGGCCATGGTTACAATCAACTGGGTCGATGCGACTACATAATACATCTACTTTGGGCCTTGCTCTCTACTTTTTTTTGTAAAACACGCAAATACATTTCCCTCTCAGAATGTGCCCAATAATCGGAAAAACGTTAGAGAATCTCGGAACAAAATCTCATATCAGAGCCCACAAAAAATGTTAGCTGGACAGTTTCGATAGAAAAGGCACACCAATTGCCCTTGGGTTGTATCATATCTCATACCGCATGTTTTGTACCATGATACATTTGCTGACAATTGAGTGTGACCAACTTTCATTCAAATAATTTGAATTTTATTTTTCAATTATAGAAAAAATGAGGAAATGAATACTCCAGCAGGCTCCTCAAGGGCTCCAGCCTTAGGGGGCCAAATATCACCACTGGGTAACTATCTATCGGCAACGACAGATAACCATGCACATAATCAACTTCAGCAGCAACAACTGTTTCAACAGCAGCAACAGTTTTATCAACAACAGCAGCAGCAACATTTTCATCAGTATGCGACACACCAGCAGCATTTCATAAGTCATTCTAATAATGGCTACTCAAGCAGTGTGCCGTACCATGGTGACTCTGATAGCCTACGTTCGTTGAATAGTTCATTCGGCCCCAACTCCGAATTCACCGCTACATCTGCCAGCAATACCGACAACAGCTCTTCCTCTAACGTAGATCGGCTACATTACCCCATCCACAAGGAAAGTGATAACAGTGAAATTGGCGCCACCAGTGTTGCGAGTCCAGCTTTACTGTCACCCGCATCGTCAAATTCGGGGACTCCATTGCAAACCAATTATAATAATATGGTAACGGCCACTGGTGCTCAGCAAACCAATATGGACGCCATGAGTGGTTATAATCAGGTAATTTTTTCATTTAACTTCAATAATCAATTGGCATGAAGTGATTTACGTTGGTTTGCCAATATAAAAGGCTAGATAATCGGAATCATGTCTGTCCATTATCCTGTTGACATTAGTTTGAGCTAGAAGCATATTTATATTTGTTTGCCTTTTTTCGGATAGATTAGTGGTATGCAACCTGGATTGGGAACATCTAGCCAGTCGCAGCAACATTATATGAATAGCAGTAGCGGCATGAATCCAGCGCACATAGGGCCAGTGTCAGGAAGCAATATGAATGCCAATATCCACTTGGCAGCCTTAGGACCATCATCAAATGGAGGTGGACAAATGATCGGTATGCCAGGATATAACAATGGCGCTCCAAATGTTGGTTCAGGCAGACATTATCAGGTATATATAAATGAATCTATGTATGTATAAACATAAGGTCTATATATAAGGTCTACCGGGTGGCGAATTCATGCCTTAGTCTTCTCTTTCTGTCAACTTTTTAATCGCGAAGTTCGAATAAAATATGGTTCGAATAAAAATATTTTTGTTTATTCTTCTAACAATAATTTTTGACAGTCATTATTAAAAAAAAACCTTGATTATAGGAATTTATTCTTCTAACAATTATGTATGTATAAACATAAGGTCTATATATAAGGTCTACCGGGTGGCGAATTCATGCCTTAGTCTTCTCTTTCTGTCAACTTTTTAATCGCGAAGTACCAACCAGAACAGGTTAAAAACTCAAAATATCTTTCACAAAAACGTTATCATAATATTGTGCAGGTATATTATTATAGGAATACTGCAGCATGACTTTGCTTCATGGTCATCCAGTAAGGCCAGCTGGTATCTACATTTTATGTACAAATCTTTAATTTTAAATCGAAAATCATAGTTGGCTATTGGAAGTAGAAAAATAATTTTTATATTTTAATTGTTTTGTTTACAAAAACAAGAAATTTATATGAAATATTTTGAAAAAAGATGAATTGCTACCAATAAAATCAATGTGGTAATATACTTTTGCCGTTCGCATTTTATAAAATAAATAACATTTTCTAAATTAAATATCGGATAAATATAAATATTGGCCAATATTTCTGCATAATTATGATTTATTATCATTTGAAGTAAAATTTTAGGTACCTTTTCGTTTTATTTTTGAACAATTTGCGCAAAAACAACATAAAACAAAGTTTTTTTTCTATTTTGTTAATTACTAATGAATAAAGTGCAGAAAATTAGAAATGTTGTTTGACTTTGTTCAAAATTTAAAATAACGGCAGATTGAAATACCCCAAAATTTGTCCGGAGTAAATCTTACTGGAAGAAATTTACCCAGTAACATTCAGTAAGTTCTCAGCGTTGAACTGTCAAACTAGATCTCTATTTCCGCTCCCTTTTAGTGGAGTCTGTTACCTAGTAAACAGACAAATATCGAGTAAACAGGCAATTCCAATATTTACCATGGTATAATTATTACAAGGTAGGGCACAGCTACCAACTGATTGGCTTGTTCCATCAAATGAAAATACATATTTTGTGCATGTGGGTATTGTTTTGTCAGATAAATTAAAATATATTTAAAATTTTTGAAATGAAAATGATGTTTTTAACGCGCCCGTTTGGAAGTAATTACTTTGTTATGGTAAGTAATTACTTTGGTATCCCCATTCATTTTTTTGCGTTGTAATTGATTTTATATTTGCCGAAGAAGTCACCATCTACATAGTTTATTTTTTGTTATTCAACTCAAGCTGCCCTACCTTGTATTATTGCACCATGATATTTACTAGTAAGAATTTTTATGTTTATGTTATATTAGATAACCCAATAATTTGTACACATCCTGCATCTACATTTTCTGTCAAAAATTGTTGTTGAGGCGAAAATATCTTTGAAAAAATTTAGGTTTTATGCACTTTTTGAACGCAAATTATGAAAAAACTGGAGTCATATATCCGCATGAGACTACCTTGTATGATTATGACATAGATACTTACCTAATAAACAGCCTGTATGTTTTGAGAATGTTAAGTCTTTATTTAGCTTAGGCGAGTTTACTTGCGGCAATTCTTGTCGTTCTCTTTTCAACTTGCTTCATGGGTATATACAAGGCAATTCGGTTTCCAAAATATGTTTCTATTTGTTTTTTTTTCACATTTAAACGAATTGCCAGAAAATTATCGGTACGAGCACTTTTTTTCATTTTTTTCCCCTTGCCCCTCTCTCCAATCCTGATTTATATTAGGCGAGTTTACTTGCGGCAATTTTTATCGTTCTCTTTTGAACTTGCTTCATTCGTCTATACAAGGCAATTCGATTTCAAAAATATTTTTTTTTTTACAATGTTGTGGATTGGTATTTCAAATTACTGACATTACAAACAAAATTCACAAAACGAATTGCCAGCAAATTGCCGGTACGAGCAATTTTTTTCAATGTCTATTCCCCTTGCCACTCTCTCCTACAAACAAAGACTTGCCGCAATTAAACTGGCCTAATATAAATTGGGACCTACAAACAAAGACTTGCCGCAAGTAAACTCGCCAAATCTAAATCAGGACTAAGTGAAACAACAGTAGTACCATTTTATGTAATATATATTTTTAAATATGAAACACATAGGCCTTGATACATACATATATGTTAATGAATACTTGCCTTGCAGATGTCATCTATGAATCAAATGCAAAGTATGAGCATGGGAGGAATGGTTAATAACAGTGGAATGGGATATGGGGGCAGTTCTCCAAGCGGTATGCCCTTACATCAACAGCAGCAACAAATGAATGTCACGAATACAATGTCTAAAATGCAAGGAATGGGCAGCAGTGGCTACAATCAACGACGCATGTCTCCATATCCAAATCCTCAAATACATGCGGCGCAAAAGAGGGCAGGATCCTACCCAATAAACAACACAGCCGTCCCTCAAGGAAATGGAGGAGGATCAATGGGTTATAGTTCATCCAGCCAGATGCAGCACCAAATGGGAAACGGCGTGCCGCTACCAATACAAACTGGCTATGGCGGTAAGGTTGGCACAATGAGCTACAGTGGAAGACCCGTGATGACTTCTAGTGGAATAGGTTCCAATAATATGGGCCCTGGTTGCATGAGTTCCACGAATATGACAAATAATAATATGGGGCCGGTGGGCATGGTTCCTAGTGGAATACCGGGCAATATGGGACCTGCAGGATGCATTAGCTCAGTGCAACGTTTTGGTAGCAGTTATGGCGCAAATTCACATCATCCTCAACATAATCAGTTTTATACTGGTTCCCAAGCAAACATGAATATGAATAACAACATCGTTTCTAATCCAATGTGTCCGATCGGCCCCGGTTCTGTTCCAAGCAGCGGCAGTCCCTATCAAAATCAAAGGTATGTTATCTAGAAGTAATTATGCAAAACAAATAATAATAATCGTTTCTCTATTTTACAGTTTTCAACAGAATTACCAGCACAGCCCAGTTCCTGGAAATCCAACACCGCCCCTAACACCTGCCTGCAGCGTACCCTATGTTAGTCCGAATCCGGATATGAAACCGCAACTAGATAATTGTAAGTAAGCAATAACTCCAAGATACACCAACGTACACAGGATTTCATTACGGGGAACCGATTGGTTCAAAATGAAAATTTTCATTGCAAACACATTTTTTGTATGAAAAAATGTATTTCGGCGATACTAAAATGTTGTCATTACACCAAAGATTTCCGCGTACATTTCTAGTAAATTACTCAGTAATTTCTTCTGTGGGAGTAAGATAGATCATTTTTCTTCTTCAAACAAAAAATTACAAAAAATATAAGGCAAAATCATGGTACAATTATTCAAGCCCGCTTGTTCGGGTAAGCACTACATAAGTACTTATACCATTGTTCCAAAAAAAAGTACCAGTACCTACTCGCCAATACACTAGCCATGCGTTTGAGTGACGAATTTAACATAGGGATGTCATTGGAGGTATGTAATCGTCACCACCTCGTTTACCTTCCATTGACGAAATCTGTAATGACAATTGCAGTCATGATTCGTTTATAATTAGTAATGAACTATTTCACTAATGATTAATAATGCCCGAAGTAAGTGTTTCATTTAATTTATTAAATATAAAATTATTTATTATTACACAAATAAAAATTAGAGCATATTCACTCATGCTAGAGTTTGAAATAGGTATGTCTGAAATTAGAATCACTTATAATTAGAAATAATTCATTAAATACAAATTTAAAGAAATACTTACTATCAAAATATGGCGTTTAAGTCACGTGTTTTATTTATTTATTTTTTTTAAGGTAATTACCTTACCTTTAAACACACAAAATACTTAAATTTCACTAGGAACACACACAATTTATAACTTTTCATTTGTCAGACAAATAATGAAATTTTTCAACCACCAATATTTTTTTGCATCACGCAAATTTCAGAAAATAACGGAATCGAACAAAGAGAAACAAAAGAATATGTGAACTTACTTAAGTATCCCATGGTAAGGCGCAGTTGATACAATCGACGAACCGTTCATTTACTTTGGGATACTGAAATAAGTACATACCCTTAAATCAAAATCATTAATGGTGTATGCTATGAATAGTATCATTCGTATTATACTAGTGACGAAATTACTATAGAAAACCCGTCAATTGATGTTTTGTCAAGCTAGCGGGAGGTAACAACAAAACTACAACAAATACAATTCAACAACAACCATATAGAAAATTGTTATTGTATGTAACACTAGTGTCAGTTCTATATATTGAAAAATGTAAACAAAATATACGATATATCAATTAATGCCATGTACAGACGAGCGTTGTTCGCTCTCTCATTCATTGTTCGACCCTTAATTATGAAGTAATTACTTAGTTCCCCATACAAAATTGTCTAAGCGAACACCTACTTTTGTACGTTGTTCAATTCGAACCACTCTCTAAATCACCAAGAATTTTGTCCCATCTCTAACAATTGAGAGAATTTATCGACAATAAATTAATTTTGACAGCATGAAAAAATTTTTAAAATTTTCAAACTTTTTCAGTAAAATTAAAAATGGTGAATGAAAAGTAAACAAAATTCTAGTTTTTATATATGCAGAAGGATGTAAATGATGCAATATGCATTTCTTTCCCCGTTGTTCTAATTAGCGTACAAAACGAGAGACAAAAGTGGGGAAACCCAAACAAAAAGTCTCCATTTTTTTAAATGTGACATTTGAGGTGACAATATATAAAAATGTATTGAAAACAACAATATTTTCAGGAAAAATGGAAAACATGAATTAAAAGTAAAAAGATAGGGGTTTATATTATAGTCAGGAGAAAGAGAATTATTTTTTCTATTTAGATCCACATGTGATTCACGCAAATATGTTACAATTTTGGTGTAAAACAAGAAACAAAAAGTTTGAAATAAAAAACCCTGATAAAATTTCATTGTATGTGCAAAACTTACGAACATGCTATAAATCGAAAATTATTTTATGAAAACTGATTTAATACATGAAACCTTCCCAGTAGGAAAATTTAGTAAATTGAGTACGAAATTACATTAATAAAGAATAATATCCAAATAAATGAGTACCAAATTTTCCTGCTAGGTCTCTTTAAAAAACATAATTTTTCATATTCAAGTTGACACGAGTATTACGTTGGAATCAAATCAGCTGAGTATTGCAGTTACCTTCTATAATTGTACCATGGACAAAATCAAGGTTTATTTGTAGGGAACACTGAACTAAATTATAGTTTCTAAATAAGATACAAACAATAAATATATATTAGATCAGAAAATTAAAAAAAATGTTTCAGTTTTATCACTGATATGAAAAAAATCTATACGCCTTGGGCTAAAAATAAATTGATCGATATGTCAAAAAAAATATACATATATTCAATGTGTTAATTTTGTGCATAAGGGTCGTACCTAATTTATTGCGCTCCGTACAAAAATACTCATCTTTTTTGGGTTTGATAGACGTCCGTATTACCCAAATACGCCTTTATTGGCATATGTGCCAATTGACAACGGCGAAAATGGGTGGAAACATTTTTTTAATTGATCGAAAAATTTTTACTTTTATAGAAACACAATTTTTTCAATGACTGAAATTCTATTTTCAAAAAACTAAAAATTCAAAATACGCATTGTCAATGTTGAAAATTTTCAACTTCATATTTTTATACGCAATGCGTATTTGGGTAACATTCATTGAAATACATGTATTTAACTTTTGAGGTGAATAAAATCATACGCATGCGCATGAATTTAGTTACGACCCTGACAGTCGTAACGGCAATCGAACGATATCTTCCGAAATACATGACACCTTTTCGAATGAAGCAGCCTTTTTTAGAATTGATTTTCCTTCGAAATATATAAACATGCTGTTGGTAACATTGTTTACAAAACAAAAAACACGTGCGCTGACAGACTAAATGCCGGTGCAGCCAAGATATTATTCAATTTTATTTGTCTAATCTGATTCAACAAATATTCAAGTTATTTTTTCAATTTTATTTGTCTAATCTGATTCAACAAATATCTTGTCCATAAAGGCGAATAAATGATATTTCAATTTTATTTGTCTAATCTGATTCTACAAATACCCAAGTATTTTTTTTCAATTTTATTTTTCTAATCTGATTCATAAAAAATTTCTGGTCCATAAAGGCGAAGAAATGAGATTAACGTTTCCCGTTCGAGATGGTATTATACTTCCCCCGTTCCGTTTGTTGCACAATTTATCGGTGAGCAATCATGTATTCCACCTCAAGCAAAATGTGTACAACACGCTGATGTGTAGGTGAGTCTAGCTAAGAAAATATTGGCATTTTCAGAGCGACTAATCCAAATTACTTTCCTTTAGGTCGGACCTGGAGTTGCAGCTGAAATGCTTCCACCAAGATGACAGGCAAATGAATACCAACTGGCCTCATACAGTTACGGTATCGGCCAATGCCACTCCATTGAATATTGAACGTTCGGAAAAGACAGGCCAAGCGCTAAGGCCGCTGTATCTGAAAACAGTCTGCCAACCTGGTCGAAACACACTTCAATTGACAGCTAGTTCCTGTTGTTGCGTAAGTTTCTAAAAATTCCTACGTTCGGAGTCATGTCACTTATTTTGTTTTTTAGTCTCATCTTTTTGTTTTGCAACTAGTCCATCGACCATCTGTGCGACAGGTTATGCAAAGTCTTCACAAGCGCAATTTATTGCCATTGGAACATAGTGTGGCGAAAATTAAGCGATATTTTGCAGTTGGAATTGTTGGTGGCACACAAAACTCTGAAAGCACTGCTAGCAATATGCATGACTCCAATAAGTGCGTTAAGATCTCTCTAAAGTGTCCAATCTTAAAATCTCGGATACGTTTACCTGCTCGAGGATTAGAGTGCAAACATATTCAGTGCTTCGACTTGGAGGGTTACCTAATGGTGAATAGTGAGCGTGGTACGTGGCGTTGTCCAGAATGCAGTAAACCCGCCCTCACAGAAAGTTTAGAAATCGATCAGTATTATTGGGCTATTTTAAACACGTTGAATACTACCGAGGTTGAAGATGTTGTTATAGACTCTTCGGCGAATTGGAAGGCACTGCCTAACAGTTTAAACAGTAATACTCCCAGTGGTTGTCCTAATACAACAGCGAATTCCTTGTCGGGAACGGGAGGATCAACAAACGGTCCTGGGACTTCGAGTGCCATCCCAATTCCACAGATTAAACAGGAAAACTACTCCGACGAAACCACCAAAGTAATGTCGCCAGGTTCAACGCAATTGCCAACACCCTCATGGGATAATTCGCAAGCGATGAGCCCATTCAACAGCCATGATATGAACTCAATTGCCAATGGCAACATGATATCAAACGCAGGTGATAATTTAAACAATTCCCACCAAAGTGGTAGCAATGGGTAAGCAATTAAAAGCGTCACTCAAAACAAAGCATATCATTTCGAATTCAAATTGCAGCGGCCGAAGTAACATTGATAGCTTCAGTAGCTCCCAGACACCAACTGAAATGCAGTCGCATGATTCCTCGCATCAAAATAATTTAGCGGGTCAATTGGGTGAACCTCTGGATCAACTGAATGTAATGGAAAAATCAATTACAGAACAGGTAACTATTCGGATACAACAACAACTACAAATGTACACATTTCAGTGACAAATTCGTTACATTGCACTTTTTCTATATGCAGTCATTAATTGAACACGTTTTTACAGTTACCGCACACACCACATACTCCTGGTAGTTCAAGCCACCCCATGACACCTGGCGGCCCACCATCAGTGAGCTCTGTCCACAATGAACCCAACAGTAACGGCACATCGAATGGAAATAATTCGAGCAGTCTTAATTCTCCTCAAACTCCAGGTACTCCGAATAATCGTCCCAACAGCAATAACAACAGTCAGAAACAGTCCGATTCTCAACAGCGAGAGCAGATAATTAATTCTTTAATCGGGCCGCAATCATCATCAGATTTAGTTAGCCTTAACGATCATTCGTTTGATCCATCAAACATTGGAAATTCAGATGCCGCAAACGATTTAAATGTAAGTACGAATCCTATGTGGCGCTCTTTCTTCTTAAACGCACATCGAAACAATTTTGTTAATTCTGGAATGTTATTTACGGTACAAATGTAACAAAATACAATTTCAGGCTAGCCAAAATAAACAACAAACAAAGGACGAACACAATTATTTGTATTTCATTTTATATTAAAAATAAAATGAACAATAAGAGAAAATTTGATTTGGTATGTTCCCCGGGAACATATAAGCTTCCTGCATCAATACATTGCCCTCTTTCTGCAACTTGACAAAAATATAAAGAATTAGTTTCCAATTTGAATAATTTTTGTGTTTGATCGTAAAACAGCTGATCCAAAATGGCTGTGTTTGCAAAATCTTACTGCATAAAATTGTTTTTTGTTGTTGTTGAACTGTCAACAGACAGAGCTAATATCCTAGATTTACAAAAGGTATATATATATATAACAACATTACCAAAATTCCAACGAGGCGCACAAAAATATTCATCTTCCCCGCTATGGGTAAATGTTTTGTAAACCAAATCGAGGTCGGACAGTAAGGACAGTCTTCATTGACTGTCAAATTTATGGTTTGAAAATTAAAACGACATTAGAACTTTTTACCATGTTAAAACGGCATATACATTAAAACTTTTTACGGGGTTAGCCTACTTTATGAGGATTTATTTGACATATATGTAAATGAATTGACAATTGAAACCCACTGGTTTAACGTAATCCGGTTAAATGTAAACGTAATATAACCTACTTAATTCGTTCAAAAGTACAACGCTGCACCTACATCTATTGTCAAAAGTTGTACTTGGAGCGAAACTCGTATTATTTTTTATTTTCCACATTTTTAAACCCGAACAACACAAATTGGTCACCACACAATATTTTCGTAAACAATTCAAATAGTTTTTTCCAAGATTTGAAACAAGGCCTATATAAGGTCGGCCAGTAAGCGAATTCATAGAGAAAACTTAAGTTTAACGTCAATTTGTTTTGCCGAGACGAAAACTAATTGTTTCGCCTTTAAATAAAAAACACAGCCAAAAATCTTCTTTAAACTCTTGAAATAGTCAATTGTGCTTCACAAAGGCGATATAAATTGAAATTTAATTGAATGTTGACAAAATATTAATGTGAAGATAAATTGGACAATTTAAATTGGATATTTAACAGAGTGGAAGTTAACACAAGTCTGTTAACTCATTAACAGTGCTATATTAAGAAGTTACATAGTGATGAGTGCGAAGATAAGTTGGATTTTTCAGATTTTATTATTTTGTTTTGTATTTATAGCACATATATGATAATAAAAAAAACCTTCCTATAAGATCTCAACTCCATTTAAACAAAAATCAGAGACTTACTTAACACTAGAACGCCGAAGGCAGTCATTTTGACCGCTTTCCAGTTTCAAGTACAAGAGCAACTGTGCATTTAATGACACTTTTTTTTTAAAAATATGGTGACTTTTTGTACCTCATAGAATTACGTTTATTATAAAAAATTCACCAAATTTTAAAAAAAAGTGTCATTAAATGCACAGTTGCTTTTGTACTTGAAATTGGAAAGCGGTCAAAATGACCGCCTTCGGCGTTCTAGTGTTAAGGGAACCCCACCCATTCTCGATTTTAATTTTTCAAGATTTTCAATGGGCTGGTAAATCAATACCAATGCTTGTACTTTTGCACATATATATTTGAACTTTGCACATATATATTTGAAGATTTAAAAGAGAAGAAAAATAATTTACAAAAAAATTTTGTTATTGATTTGTTGTTGTTTTTTGTAATTAAAGAAAGGTCCTTATTTTTGATGGCGGGCATGATAACTCCTCACTGGAACATCGGAATCCGAAAATTCCAACGGTGTTAGAAAGAGTACATGTCTCGTATGAACTAGGATTATTGACTTCGCTCTAAAATTAACAAAATAGCGGACCTTTGAAAAAATATTTTTGGAAAATCGCCGATTTTTGACCAAAAGATTTTCAATGGGCTGGTAAATCAATACCAATGCTTGTACTTTTGCACATATATATTTGAACTTTGCACATATATATTTGAAGATTTAAAAGAGAAGAAAAATAATTTACAAAAAAATTTTGTTATTGATTTGTTGTTGTTTTTTGTAATTAAAGAAAGGTCCTTATTTTTGATGGCGGGCATGATAACTCCTCACTGGAACATCGGAATCCGAAAATTCCAACGGTGTTAGAAAGAGTACATGTCTCGTATGAACTAGGATTATTGACTTCGCTCTAAAATTAACAAAATAGCGGACCTTTGAAAAAATATTTTTGGAAAATCGCCGATTTTTGACCAAAAACCAAGTTAAAAAATAAGGAAGATCTTCACCGAGGCTTTATCCTAGTTCATACGAGAGCTATACACTCACAGAGAAACGTGTAAAAATTTGGAATCGATTGGGTTATTAGTTTTTGAGTTATCGTGCCCGCCATTCGCAAAAGAGAAAAACGCGTTTAAAGTTTGAGAAGCCCTTTAGCCGTCACTTGATGCTTACACAATAAATCGGCTATATCTTTAAGAGTTCTTGAGGTTTTCACTTGTTATTTTCCAAAACCGTTTCAGAAAGCTAAATTGGACGACTTTCTGAAAATATCCTGTTTTCCTGTTAAGACCACTGTGCGAAAATAATTAAAGATGAGCGGATGAAACTGGGCTTAAATGAAAGGTCTCGAGGAGTACTTTAAGACCATATACCAGTTATATTCCAAAACCGCTTCAGAAAGCTAAATTGGACGAATAATTATTATTTTTTTATTTTATTATCATGTATGTGCTATAAATGCAAAACAAAATAATAAAATAAATAATAATGAGTTAACAGAGTTCTGTTAACTTCCACTCTGTTAAATATTCAATTTAAATTGTCCAATTTATCTTCACACCCATAATTTGTAGGATAATTTATTTGAAGTCCTAATGTGCTACACAAAGACAATATAAATTAAAATTGAATTGAATGTTGACAAAATATTAATATTTTCGTTTTGACGTCTAACATAATTTTGTATGTATAGGTTTTAAAATATCATTTGACAGCAAACAAACTCAGCTGTGTTTACTGTCCGAACTTATATAGGCCTTGACCCTGTATCTGCATTTTCTGCCAAAAATTGTTGTTGTGGCGAAAAAAGCTTTGAAAAAATTTCGACTTATTTTGCACCTTTTGAATGCGCAAAACAAAATTTTGGCACAACACTGATTTTAATTAATTATTTAATTTATTATAGTATTAACATTGTAGTAAATACAATACTAATAATAAAAGTATCTAGCATTGGCTACAATGACCATCAGCTAAATCTGTTGACAATTCGTAATAATTTTATTAAATAGTAATTTTATGATGACGTATATAGTTGAATATCTTATTAATATTGACAGTAGCAGGTGATATTAAAATATTCGTTCCATCGTTGTTGAGGTAGTTATCTGAGTCAACATTTAAATTATTTTATTGAAGTGGTGTTAACATTAGAAGTGTTTCTTCCATTGATAAGTTCAATAAATTTAAGGGTCGTACCTGATTTATTGCGCTCCGTACAAAAATACTCACCTTCTCACCTCTTTAGGGTGTGATAGATGTCGAAAATTGACGAAAACATTTTTTTTTTTAATTGATCGAAAAATGTTTACTTTTATAGAAACACAATTTTTTCAATGACTGAAATTCTATTTTCAAAAAACAAAAAAATATGCAATGCGTATTTGGGTAACATTCATTGAAATATATGTATTTAACTTTTGAGGTGAATAAATCGTACGCATACGCATGAATTTAGGTACGACCCTAAAGGGTTGGTATCAAATTTTACAAAATTACCAGATGCTATAAAAATTCAGGAAACCTAGTTTCAAAGAAATATAACACAGCTATACTCAATTCCTGGATATATATACAGTGAGTGTAATAAGTATTTTGCTCTACAAATTTGAAAAAAATCCAATATATACGCCTAAAGCCAGCATACTAAAGATGAAAAATGAATTATGAATGATGGAGTACGTTTGTGGACATATTTAGATCGTATTTCTGCAAGAATCACAGCGAAAGACCTATTGGTCTTGAAGATATCGGCCGAAATATATAACAATCCAAAAATGTTTATCACAAAAAAGTATTTTGCTTTTTATTATTATTTCAGAAAAAATTTTTACATAGAACACGTTTGGTCTTTTTATAGTAACCATTGCGGGTAACCACATACTATAAGTGATTTGGCAACGATTCCAATAAACCACGGCATTTTTTCGCGACTATTTTCTCATATTTACGTTCAATACATTCTCTAGCAATATTTCATTTAATATTTGGTAATTTCTCGTCCTAATCTCAAAATGAGAGTATTAAATATAGTCGTCGCGGCTTAAAAACATCCCAAATATGTTAAGAATAACAAAAAGAAAGTTTTACAAAATATATCGCGAGGACAGGGCCTTTAAAACTTTTAAAAACAAAATCCGACAAACAAATTATTTAAAAAATTATCGCGAAACCCCATTTTTCTAACTTCGAAAACTTTATGGTTCATTATTACTGATCTAGGAACCAATATATGCGATGAAAATAGCAATAAGGAGGTCAGATTCAAAGATATGAACGGTTTTCTGGCAATAGAAATACATCTTATTTCGAAAATAAATAGATCGAGCCGTTTATTCCCTACTGCATTTTATTCGCAACTGATGGTGTTAATCGGAGATAAAATATTGAATGCGTATTCGTCACCAGCTACCACAGTTTTTCAAAAGACAATAGGACTTGACGAATAATGAAGTTTTCTCCCAACTTCATGTATTCTTTTTTATTTCTATTGCTTTAGAACTGTTCATACCTTTGAATCTGACCCCCTTATTGGCATCTCTATCGCATATATTGGTTCCTAGATCAATATTACTGGACCATAAAAATTTCGAAGCCAGAAAAATTGAGTTTCGCGTTATTTTTTAAATAATTTGTTTGTCGGATTTTGGTTTTAAT